CGGCCCGCGGAGGTGTTGCCCCGGTCGGCCTGCAGCGGGTGGACTCAGATGAGGGTGGGGTGCGGGGCCCAGAGTCCTCGAGGCCGTGGCTTTGCGCTCTGGGCCCTGTCTCTGCTTGGGGCGCACATTCCAGAGGCGCAGACCCTTGCATTTGCTCCCACAGACGAAAGACGTGATAGACGCTGCACAGAGATGGTCAGAGCCGCTTGGCCTGCACACAGACCCGCGAGCACCCGCACAAACGCGTGAGCACAAACACACCCCAGGCTGGGTTACCAGCCATTCGGATGCCACCTTCATGGTTCCTGTCATGTATCCGGATGCTATCTACCATTTTTCTCATAATCACCTCACTTAACTCAAATAGCCTATTTAAAAGGAACCTGTTTCACTCCTAAGTGGAAATGGGTGCTGCTGGTTAAAAGTCGAGGTCACTGTAAAAACAGTCACAAGGAGAGCAATTTGGTTTTAAAAACCTATCTGTATAAAGGACACTGGACCCTCTTTTCAAAATAACATTAGCGAGTTCAGGTGTTTCTGGCTGTGTCGTCAGGATTGCTGAGGGTTCCGGGATGAGCGGCACGGCTGTTTAACCCCCTCTGTCTGCCTGGGAATCCCTTTGTGGAAGTTCAGGCCCTACTCCGGGACCCCCTGATGGCAGGGTTTCATAAAGACCCTTCCCACAGAGCTGGCAAAGTGCTGAGGCTGCAGCCAAGGCCCCAGGTGGGAGCTGGCCTGGGCATCCAGGTGGAAGCTTCCAGGCTTGGTGGTTGCTGGGGAGGGAGACTTGGAGGGAGTGGGAGGGGTCCTTCCTTCACTGGGATGGAGATCCAGGAGGAGAGGCAGCCACTGAGGGCACATGGCGTTCCCTGGGTGACTGTGGGATTGGTTGGCGGGGGTCCCCGGGAAAGAAAACTCAAATAGGAGCTCAGCAGAGAGATCAGGTCGAGTCAGGAGCACCCGATTCCTGCTGAGGGCTGGTGCCCTCTCTTCACCTTTGACGCCCCTTCCTGCCCAGAGCAGTAATTCTTCAGGAGCAATAAGAAGTTTGAAAACGCCATCAATATAATGTATAAGGTAACTTTTTATGTGGACAATAAAATTATCATTTCCTTACAGTGCCCTGGCAGGCAGAAGGCAGGGGTGGCACCCTCCAGGACTGGCCCACGGGAGGTGGTACAGGCAAGGATAGGTGCTGTCCTGGGGCAGACAGCCTGGCCGTCTGAGGGCCGGGCCAAGCCACCGTCAGCACAGTGCCCTGGGCCTGACAGCAGGCTCCAGCTTCCAGCCCAGGGGCCTGGGCTTAGGGTCTGTGCTCCTCCCCCCCACCCCTCGTGACCTTCCCTTGGGTCCTGCCAACACCCTCTTTATCCCTTAACATGCAAAACTCTTTTCTTATTTTTCTCCCAGGAAAGCCTAATGTGCTCATTTTACTTGTGCTAAAAGCAACCTGAAAGTTGCCTTCCCCCTCCCTGGCTGGTATTTAATGCGCTACAAACGAACAGAGAAACAATTGCAGTTCTATATGCGAAACAGTGTGAACGGTTCCTTTTTTGCTACATTCTTTCCTGTGCAGCAAACTCCACAGCCCTGGAGGACACTTCCCCATCTNTGTGCTGGCTCAGGAGCCTCCCTGCACACCCAGGCTGGGCTCTCTCCCCCTCTCTCCCCCTCTCTCTCCCTCTCTCTCCCTCTCTCTCCCTCTCTGCCTCCCCCCTCTGTCACACACACACACACACACACACACACACACACACTCACCCACAAGAACTGGAATCTCGTAGGCGACACAGAGACCACCTCCTCTGGGATCTTCAGAGCCTGACAGGGAGCAAGCAACCCCCACCCCCAGGGGCCCCCAGAGCTGTCCCCACACCTCCCACGGGGCTGTGGAGCTCCATGGTGGGGGAAGAAGCGGAGATCAGGCCTTCGGCCCAGGTGAGTTTTTCCCCTTCCCCCTCGGGACACCCCCCCCTCGGGCCCCCCTAGCTGGGGCCTTGCCAGGTGCAGGTCGGGGCAGTGAGGAGACTGTCTCCGGAGGTGGAGCCCCAGACCCAGGCCTGGCTGCCTCCAAGCAGACACCAAGGTTCTGGCGCCCTCCTGAGGCAAAACCAGGGAGTGCAGCAGCTAGGACGGTGACCAGAGAATGCACCCCCGGTAGCAGACACCCCCTTCAACAGACATTCCTGCAGCACCTGCCGAGGGCCCAGGCACTGGGAACTCACCTGGAAATGAGACAGAGTCCCTGTGCTCGGGCGCTTGCTTGTATCTACCTCCCTGTGCGCTGAAACATTGTGTCAGCAAATGTCCTCGGAAGTCCTGCTGCCAGTCACACCTTCTCAACATCAGAAAAACACAAAATGCTCCCTATCACTTGCCCCTGCTGTCCTCAGCTGGGTCTCTGGACCAGGGCTTGTATGTGGGGCCTTACTTTGGAGAGTGGTCCACGGAGCAGGAGCAGGGGACTGGGAGAGTGGGACGGGGCAAGAGGACTAGCCTAAGGTCAGAAGCATGCAGAGCTCCCAGCTGACCGAGTCAGTAAATTTGCCTCTGTCTGAGTGGGGTTTCTGTGGCTGGCGGTCAAAATTGTCCTGACAAATATGAATGGAAGAGAAAGCATTAGGAGGGAGCCCTGATCCTCCTGGGGTGTGGGGGACACTTGCTGGAGTGTAGGACCACTGTGCTGCTGCACCTGAGCATGTCAACAGGGTCGGAGCAGGGCTACTAGGAGCATCCCAGGGACCGGGACACCCACACTTCTCAGTACGTGGGTTCCACTCAGCTATAACCAACCCCACAGTGGGTCTGAGTCCTCGTGCTCAGCCTCGACCAGAAGCAAAAGCCGCAGCCTCAGAGGCGCTCGGGGCACCGGGCCAGCAGCTGCTGTGGGCCGAGCTGGGGGTCCGAGGGCTCTGACCCACCCAGCTGTGCTCACGGGCTCGCCCCCTGGCCCGAGCGCTGTGCCTGGGGCCGGGGCTCGGTGAGTGGCTGGGCTTGGGTCCCGCGTGTCTGGAGGACAGGCCTTCCCAGCCGGAGACGAGGGATCTGGTGGGGTTGCCAGCTTTATGAGCCAAAGTTGAGGGGGCCCTATTTTGGAAAAAACTGCTTCAAACTCTCAAAATGGTAACTTTCCACAGATGTGGCCTAATCGGTGGGTCTGTCTGAAGACTGAGCCTGAACCTCTGGGAGGTCACCCCGGCACCCCCCTTCTTGTGGTGGACACGCTTTCGAGCCAGAATCAGATCGTGGACACGGCACACAGGCGGCCCAGACGTCTGTTTACTTCTCTCCCCTGGGCGTCGCTCCTAAGAACAAGCTCATGAAAGTAAGTGGAAGGGGCTGCAAACAGCCCACGCCTGCAGGACGCTCGGCTGTCGCCCTGAGCTTGTCCCATCTGCAGGCACAAAGGCTGCCCCTTGCCCCATCCAGTCTTCCGATCGATGGGAAGGTTTGGAGCTCAAATGTGGTTCCATTGCCAAAAATGCCTCCCAGACAGACACTCGGCAGTTCCTGGGGGTAACTGTCCCCCAGATTCGGTGAAAGGAGCCTCGGTGGTGCACACTCACCCCGACTTCATCCCCAACATTTGCCGGTGCCGAGCTGGTGAAAGCAGGCCAGGGGTTGGCCGTGACCTATGCTCTTTCTTCTAAAAGTCCCCGTGACTGTGAGTTGATTTCCATCAGGATATTTAACATTTAACTAAAATTAACATGGTAAATAATCACTCCATTGACCACTGCATTTGTCCAGAGCTGTTTGGGAAAGAAACTAGGCTTGGCAGCCAGGGTGCAAATTCCAGCTCTGATCTCAGTTTTCTCATCTGTAAAATGAAGTCTGAAGACCTGCTGAGTGTCTGGCTCCCAGATGTGGTTGGTAAACAGTGTGGCACTTTGTGACTGCCCGAGATGTGAGAAAATGGGCTTGGAACTCCTCTGTCTCCAGAAGCAACCTAGGAAGGGGCAGATGGTCCCCTGTGCCCACCAGGTCCCTCACTGACCACAACACAGCTTTCCTCTCACTGTGTTTATTGGTTCCCAAGGGCAGGCCCTTTCCTGGAGGTGCCGCGTGGGCTCATATCTTTTGGGCTCCAGAGATGGGGCAGTTCAGGTGCTAGGGGGAGGCCAGGAAGGCCTTGAGCTTGGGCCGGGCTCTGAGGCGAGCCATGTAGGAGGAGAGCAGGGGGAGGGTGTGCAGGCAGCCAGGGACCAGGATCTGGTGATTCAGCAGCAGGTCCAGCAGGTCCTAGTTGGCGAAGGAGATCTGCAGGGCAGGGGCCCAGGTCTTGAGCAGGGTCAGGGGAGTCAGAGGCTGGGCCAGAACTCTGGCTGCTCCAATGAACCAGTCATGGTCCCGCTCTGGACCTCTGTTTGCCCATCTGAGAAATGGACCCACAATGGGCCAGACCCAGCACTCACCTGGTCGCCCATGACGAAGGCCTGGTCCCCCTGGTTCTGGGTCAGCAGAGTCTCGAAAGGCTTCAGGTGCCCCGGCAGCTCCTGAACATACTGGGCTTTGCCTTCCTCCTGAGAGCAGGGGTGATCCCAGTGGCCGTGTGCAGTGTTCCTGGCCAGGTGAACCCCGGGCCCCAAGCAGCAGCCCCAGCCCACTCACAGTTGTGGCAGAGGAGGTGGCCACAGAGCTTCGGGAGGTCCTCCAACCGTCATTGACCATGTCCACTGGCGGCCACCTCCCACTGGTCTTTGCTGTAGAGCCCTGGGTCATGGCCAGGCTGCAGGTCAGGCTCTGTCTGGGCTGCACCCCCTCCCCAGGAGCCTGCTGGCCTCAGGCCTGGCCCCGCTCTGCCCAACAATGCCTTTCCCATCTCCATGAGCCCAGGGGGTGAGAGGGAGT